TTAACACTGGGTGATCCTATCTTAAGAGAGCATAAACGAATGCTGGTAAAGCTCAGTAAACTGATGCAACAGAAAAGGGATAATTCATCTAAATGATGTGATTTAGATGAGCCATTCCTTGACTGGATTCTGTGTTAACACTGGATCAAGCAGTGGCCCAACACTGGAACACCTTGACTCTTTTCTTTTTCAGCCATTCTGTTGCAGATTTGCTGCTGTGCTTGGGATCATTGTCCTGTCGCCTGACTCAATTTTGATAAAGCTTGTTTGGCTGTCAGACAATAAGAAAAATAAGCAGATATCGTAACTCCACCACCGTCTTTGACACTTGATATGAGGCATTGATGCTATGCTGTTATCCTGTGTTTGGTTTTCATCAAACATTGTTCCAGAAGTACTTTTGAAAAGTTTGTTCAGATGGGTTTTTGCAAAGTTGAACTGTGCTGCCATACTTTTTTTTAGAGAAAAGGTTTTCTCCTGACAGTTGTTCCAAACAAGCCATACTTGTTCAGTCTTTTTCTCCTTGTGTTGTGATGAACTTTAACAGTTAACGTGCAAAAATCAGTAAGAAAAAAAAAAACGTGACCACACACTTCTACCTTTTCCTTGTCTCCTTTCCACTTTAGGCAACTCTCTGAAGAGAATGCTAATCTGCAAGTGAACGTGGAGAAGGAGAGCAATGAGAAGAAGCGCCTCAGTCGCACCAATGAGGAGCTGCTGTGGCGCCTACAGACCGGCGAGCTGAGTCCTCGCATGTCCCCCAGCTCCTCCCCTATCCATCAGCCACCCTCTGGACAAGGCTCTCCTGCCCGTCCACACTCGTATCACCAGTGATGCTCTTCTGGAAGTTCTCGTCACCAAAAGCTTTTAGCTGGAATCAGAAGGCCTCATTTGTTTTAAACCTCTTGTGTGAATGTTTCTCTCAATCAGAAGAGGGATGGATGTTACACTATATAAACACAAATAGGTCTGTTTGTTGGGAAAATCCACTTGCCTATGTGATTTAAAGTTTGAACCCCACTGACCTAACCAATTGTACTGTTAATCGCACCTGTTACTAAAAGAAGGAATTCTCTCAGATTTTCCTACTCCACATGAACGCCCCACACAGCAGATGCACTGAAAAACTCCCACAGATTGTAGATTGATTGGAGAGCAGAATGAAAATCACGGTGCCTCATTTCCATGTTTTCGCCTACATCTCCATCTTCTCATCCAGCGCTCAGGATGATGGATGTACAAGACATAATGATAATCAAAAGTGCAACAACAAACACAAAAAGCGCCTTTTGCCATCCACTCTCTCCCACCAGCAGCATCCACCAGGACAAGGAAAATCCTTTTTGTGAGTAAAATCACAAAACTACCTACAGTGTTACTCTCAATGTTCAGATTCTTCTCTGGGGCTTATTATCCTTTTCATCCTGAAATATTGTAGGAGTTTATGACTGACTATCAAGCCGTTTAACCTCAATCATCCATGCTACTTTAACTTGCATATTAGCATTGACCTGAAATGTGTGGCTACAACAACAACAACCCAACTTATATCTTCTGAACTGCCAACACAGTCAACAGTTTTCCTGACCATACTTTGTAAAATCTGTACATGTATTGCTCTCTTTAAAGCATGATCTGTCTTCCAGTTATAACTTAACTATATTTTAGGATTGCCTACAGTGGGATGAAGTGGCACCGAAGGGCAGTGGAGCATCGCGATTTAAAAGGAATTTCTTATTAACTTGAACAGGATTCATTAAAGGTAAAACATTGCGTTATACATTTCACACTAGGTGAGTTGATGCCCTTCACCCTTCAGATGAATTAATATAATAGACTGCTCAAAAAG